CAATTAGATGTGGTTTATAAAACAAAATGCTGGAAAAACCCTTTCCTCCAAAAACTCCTGGCAAAGGACTCATTGGGATTTTTCCTAATGTAAAAATGATAAATTACACAAGTTCACGTAATTTATTCTGGCACATCTTATGACTGGGTGTATAGTTTTGGGGTTTTTATATATAGATATATATATACACACACACGGAGTCAACTGTTAAAAACAGGAACTTTTTTTTTTAATATTACATCACTATTTAAAATGAAATTTCTTCCTCAAGACTCAAGTGTGTCCTGAAGAAAGCTCTTGAACAAATACTATAGAATCTTACAGTACTACTTACGTGACAGAACCATTAAAACTGAAGGGGCATTAAAACTATGAAAGAACACCACTTTGTCAGCACTGGTATTGAATCAAGCTACGATAAACACAGAGTTTGGGATATCTAGAAATTCATTTTCCTAATCCAGATGAACAGGTACCTGCTGAGCCAGGAAATTAACTTTTTAAAAGGAGACCACTCATTAAACAGCATCTTTTGGTAATGTAGCTACAAAGGATGGAGAAGGTACGGATTTCTTTTGAATAGATCCATCCTCCTTAGAAGAAGAATCTAGACAGATTCTGAGGTGTAGAGAGCAGAACAGAGACCTTCACCTCACCCAGAACAAGTCGCAGAAACAACCCAGCCCCTTGAGTATGCCCAGCACTCCGCCCTCAAGTCCTTATCTCCTTAATAGAAAAATTATCTTCACAGCTTTTTCTTGCCCATTTATCTAGAACAATATCATGGGCAGCACTTGTCTCTTTTCTAATAAAGCAAAGGCAATTTTGCTGGTCTGCTCCTAACAACAGAGTACAAATTCACAGCGATTTTTACTCAATCTGTTACAATGTTTTCACTGTCAAGTTAGGACATACATCAGAGCACAAGAGATTTACAAGACAAGTTGAAGAGCCCTAAAATAAAAAATTGGACTCTCATTTACTCAAGCCTCTCTGTCCGCTGAGCCTGAAGTTGTCAAACAAGAACCAGCCTTCCACTTGTTTATTGTTTATAGTGTGCTTATTTCCCCAAACCCACAAATGTCACAACAAATGACCCTAAAAGGCACCATAAAGGGCAAGAGTCTCAGTACCTTTTGTTGTGAACAAGTTCTTGTTCTGGCAATTTCCTTTCAGGCAGAGAAGACGGATGATTAATCTGGGAGCACTGAGAAAGCCCCACGCAACAGAGCTATCAAAGTCACAAGGTTTTCAGCTGAGACCCCTAAAAATTCCCATTAATACCGACTGTCTCGTGTGTGCCAATAAACACAACTGCAGGAATACAGTCAACATCCTGTGCTGCTGCTTTTCTTTCTTCCTCCTCTTCTCCAAGTGGCTCGCTGCTGCCATTTACCAGCTAGACCGGGACATACCAGAGCCTGTTGGCTCTCAGCAGGGTTGTCTGCTGGCAGGGACTACCTCCACGGGCTCACCACTCACAGCCACTCCAGGCTCCTCGGGGCACAGCACTCGGCTCCCACAGGGTTGTGAAGCCCACTACATAAACAGGAAGTCAATTCTGAGATGTGGTGCCAAGCAAAATAAAACAAGGTTAATTAACCGCATCGAGTACTACATTTCAAGAGGAAAAAAACCCAACAACTTAGGAGCCATCATTTCTTATTGTCACATTTAGTTCAAACCAGAAGAGCCATCCTGGTTTTCAGAAGGGTTGCATGTACATGCTTCCATAGTCACTTGGAAGGAGCTGACAGCTTTCAGCACTTCAGTGAACACAGCTTTGAGATTCTTTAACAGAAGGACGAACCAGCAGCCAGATGAGAAGCATGTGAGGGAACGCATCTATTAGCAAGTACAGGGAGATGTCTTGTTAATAGAAGACAGAAGGAGGGACAAAGCAGGGAGAGAAAGAAGCCAGCAGTTAGTCATTTTCTCATACAGATACATTTGGCTAGAAATGAGATGCACATCAATCTTGTATCCCTTTCTGCACTTTCAGAGCCAGTGAAAACCAATACTGAAAAGCAAAACTGAACACTAAAAGGCCTCTCTCCAAAACTGTTCAGAATGCTTAGAAGCCCTGAGATAATAAAAACAGTGAGAAAATGAAAATTTGACTCATAGTGGCTGCATAGGACAACTACCTTCAATTTTTAAAAATAACTTGTTACTTCAAGGTGGCTGCTGCTGTTTCAGGTATCCATCAGTGAGAAACTAGAGCTTCTCAGCTCCAAAGCAGAACACATCAAAGGATGGCCTCAGGCTGGCAAGGGACAAATGAGTGGGCCCACCAAGAATCAGTTTTGCCATTAGCGAAACCCTTTCTCTGGCTCCTTCTGTGAGCACAAAGTAGGAAGAGATAGGTGAGCATCCAAGACAGGCTGAGAAGGTTTTTTGGTTGGTTGGTTGGGTTTTGTTTAACAAAAAAGCAGCCATTTTAGAGAGAAAAGGAAAAGAAAGGTCTGGGAGAGAGACTAAGGGCTCAAGTGAACAATGAGTTGACACAGCAGAAGAATCAAATTTTGTATCACCACCCTTTGAGGCACCCTAAGGTAATTGCTCAGCTTGCATCATTGCCATCAAGAATGTCATGTGCAACAGCAAAAGTTACCCATGCAGTTTCTCCAAGGAACAGGAACACAGATAAATAATAGATTGGATACGTGCTCTCTAATGCTACATTTAACTCAAATTAAGGCATGTTTAGTAGCAAACTATTCATACGCAAAATCCGCATAAAAATAAAACAGTTGTTAGAAGATGCTTTGTCTAAATCATCACCCATGTTACCTCCTTAACAACAGTGTTGCCTGCATTCCTCTGCCGGCTGACGCATTATGGCAGTATTGCCATTTGCTCCAACCTACTACCCTAAAATGCCAGTTTGGCATACAGCCAGTTTTAACTACTTACATTTAAGAAAAGCTCCAGATAATAGAGTTGCTCTGAACAACATTTAACACAGGCTTGACTCATAGCACATTGCTACTCAGCCCAAAGACTTGTCACTGAACTTAATTTTTATAGCATACATCAAAGCAAAGAAAGACAAAGAAATAGTTGCCCCTTCCCTGACTAATCAATAAAGCCAAAAAAAAAAAATTCCCTGAATTGCCATGGGAAAATTAGTATGCAGTATGCCCTTTCAAGGAGATATGTAGCTTTGCACCTGGATGTTTTCTGCTTTTGCATTTTAGAGAGAATGAACAGAAAGAAAAAAAAAGTCACAGCATGATTCATCATTATTTGCATGAAGACTACAGCAAAATCAAGATATTAAAATCTAGTTGCCATACTTTTTTTTTTTAATATACTTTTCATAAGCCTAGTTTCATAAGTCTCTTCACAACCCACTTCTGCCCTGTGTTGGAGACATGATATTGAGCTCAACAGGTATTTGATTTGACTTAATATAACTATTATTCTCTTCTCAAAACACACCAAGATAGCAAGTAAGGACAAATATGGAAAGGTCAAAGAGAAGCCAGAGAGGAGGAAACCAGGGACAGCTAAAGGACCACCTCAGCATAAACACATTTTCTCTGTGAATAATGCTTGAAGTGGTAATAAGATACTGAAACAGTTCAGCTACAAGCTAAAGTTTAGGTACCACACAACAATTTCATTCTATCTGCAAATTGTAGGTAAATGCACCACTGAACAAAAATAACCTGCAGATGAAGACATAAAATACCTTTAAATATGCGTATTACAAACCTCATATTAAGATTTATACAACTGTTTCAGTATAGGCTTTTCGACAAAAAAAAACAGAAGCTAGCTCTCTTTCACTGTATGTATTTCTAGTAACTGCAGAAGCCACGATTACAAAACCAAACCACCAAAATATTTAAGAACTCTGAATAAAAACTATGATAATTGGTAGACTTCTTGGAGAAGTCCATTTTAAGCTTCTGATAAACCTGACAACCCAACAAAGTAAGAAAACTAATTAGCCAGCTTATCCCAACATACCCCTGTCCTTTCACAGATGTAAGAGAAACAGCATCTGGTTTTCAAACCTGCGGTTCTGCCGGCGCTGCCCTTTAACCTCTCTTCCTCCTCCGACATCGCGGTAAAACAATAGAACATCCTATGGATCCTTGAATTAGGAACCCTTTAGAGTTAATATACACAGGGAAAGCTCTCTTGACTCAGATTTTTTTTTTTCTCATTTCATACAAGGAAAACACTCTAAACATTCTTTGATTCCTTCATCAGCTTAGGCCTGTGAATGCTGGTGACACCAGGGGCTTTTATTACGAGGAAGTTTTTAGTAGCACTGTGTTTATACAGTGACTCTTGCTGCATGAAAAAAAAGCAGGCAGTTTCCACAAACTACAAGGATGTTCAGTACAATGAATAATTGCTTAGCACTTCATTTTCTACATAATAATCATTTTCTTATATACAACTAAATATTTTAAGCGGTTTATTAATTTATATGCTTAGTTATGGACATCTCTGTTTTTGGCATCAGTACACAGACTGCCTGAAGTGTTGATACTCTATGTCCTCAAACAGTTTCTAGGTGTCCTCATAATTGCTTGTCACCTGTAAAAGAGGTTTAGATCCAATGCAAAAGTAACATATGGTGAACAGATGGACTTGGAACAGACGTTTGTCGAGAAAGTACTCACACCAAAGACGTTTTGGCTTCAGCCTTTTAGGACCTTCAGAAAAGTCCTACTTGAAGCTCCAACTCATACTAATCAGGGGAACATCATTCCTCAATGACAATCTCGTGTTGCAAAAACTTTCACGACCTGATACAAAGAATCCTTGCAACTTTTCTGATGTCAGAGTGCCTTCAGAAACAGTAGTAACAAAATACTGTTTCCATAGGAAACCCCACCCATCCAACATGAATAATTCACCCCGTAGGAAACAAAAATGCAAGCAGAAAGCTGCTATTGTGATAACAGAACAAATAATTACAATAAAAAGTAAAAAAAAGTCCCTCCCATGCAGAGTCTTCAAAGTATTCCATTACTTACTGAGGAGGCAAGACAAGAGTTGTTGGCTGGGCTTTTGGTCTGCGTTTTGCAGATACTCCCATCTGGTTGGCTGAACGTTTCAAAGACTGCTGATTCAAAAGGCCAGATGCTAGCCCGGCGTGGTACTGCAACTGGATAATAAAAACACATATATATTAAAATCCACACCACTGCAGTACTCGAGCTGTGTCAGACCTCTACCATCTGTACCATCTGATCCGAGTGACAGCCAGTCAGTAAGTTCACGTATGGCATTTCGCAGATACTGCTTGGATGGAAGACGATACAAACAAGAGCACATATTAAAAAAAGTCTGCTGTGAAATAGGTATTGCAAAGAAATTCTGCTGTAGGGCAAAAGAAATGATGAATCAAAGACTTCCTCCCAAGTCCTAACTCCTGAAACTTGGGCTTGCTTTTAAAAGTTAAGACTGTTTCTCCTCTCACAGGATCAAGCATTCTTGAAGATAAGACGAAGAAAGATGCAACCCTTTCCGTATATAAACCAGCTTTTTAGAAATAACACTCATCTTTTTTCCTTACACATAATAACAAAAACACATTCACAAAGAAGTTTCTACCACTGCAAACAAAAATCTAGCCTTTAAAATACCTGCTAGCACATCTCCACAGCACTGCAACAGAAAGATTCACATTCAGTGGCTTTCTCCTTAAACTTTTTATTTTTACATGCCAATGAAAGACAAATTTATTAAGGACACAACATGAATCTGCAAGATTTTGAGTGCATTCCCACTGCTCACAGATTTCACAACAGCTACAGTGCTCTGCCTGTCCTGAAACCAGCTTCAAGCGCAACAAGGTACAAGCCCACCTCTAAACACTTCCAACATAGATTCTCAATTCCTCTTTTTTGAAGAGAAGGGGGGTGGAAAAAACCCCTCAAGATTCAGCATCAGACAGTGCAATTCCTTTCATCACTCTAGTCCCCACGTCAACGTGTTCATTAAATTGCCTAAAGGTCTGTTCTGAAACAGGTGAACTGGTTAACACCTTAACAAGTCTAAACTCATGATCTGCCTATAAAAAACAGGGTTACGGTGAGGAAACTATGACTTACACATGTTCAGAAAATGAAGTGGTCTTAGGCAAAGCTATTCTGCAGGGTACTGACTGAAAATGAGGGAAACAAAGCTGGGTAGAGCGACCTACTCGAAAATGGCTATTAAAATGAGTGAAGCTATCCTGGAGCCAGTCTGACTGAAATGTCGATGCCCGGAGCATCCATAAGGCCTTTTAACAGGCTCCTGATTTACTTGGCTGCTTTGCCACGTTATCTCGGCTGTGGCACAACACGAAGACACATGGCATTCCTAATGGGAAGAGACCCACTCTCTGCCAGCGAAGGGGGGGACAGTATCGCCCCAACGGCAATGCTTAGACCAATGAATTTTGCTCAAATTTGTTTTTCTCCAGCAGATTTCTGAAATTAAAAAAAAATAAAAATCAATGAGAGCAATGGACAGTACCTGTTTGAAAGGCAATGTTTCAAAGTGTCAGGGGCTTAGCTTTCAATCTTCACTACCAGAATTTGCAGTGAGTGCAATATGCAGGGAATTAAAGGAAAGACAACTCTGGCAGAAGCCCCCTGTAACTCCAGGAACGCGTTTTTCCCTCTTCTTCTCGCATCTCATTACGAGCGGCCCTCCTTCAGCCGTTTTGTGCTGTTGACACCATTCACTTACGTTTGCTGCGCAGAATGACAGTGGCAGGTATTTCAAGTAAATAACATCATTTGGACACTTGCTCAGAGACGGAGGTAATCGCAAGTGCTAATCATAGAGGAATTTTAAATTCAACCTTTTAAAAACATTTCATAACCTCCTGGCTAGCCTGGAATTTAGTGGGCAGGCAGTTAAAAAAAAAAAAAATAAAAATAAATATATTCTAAAAACCAATTCTGTCCTTGAAGGCTGACTCCCAGTGATTAAGCTATTTTTATTAATTGTAAGTATTTCTTTATAACCTGCTTTTGCTCCCAGGAATGCAGATCCAACTGTCAAAATCTATAAGAGCCATTAAATATTTACCAAACCATCCTTATAATGGGAGAAAAGGTCAAAGTTAATAAAACTGACAGGCAGCTTCTGTCCAGCTTGATTTATACATTATTAAAGTATCACATACTGTACTGCACAGAATGCATTCCTTTTTGAGGGCAGAGGGGTGTTAACTGAAGAGATTGGGAAATTGTTTCCTAATCATTTGTTCTAAGGAGCAGAAACAAGGCTGAAAATAGTGCCAAAGCGGTACCACTGGCATCAAAGCTGTAGCCAGGAGATTCAACGGTCTTGATGGATAATAAACGTGCCATTTGGTTCCTTTTTCCTCTTGCAAAAGAGAGAGCTTTGTCTACCAGCATCAGCCATGACGGCAAATCTCAGCTAAAAACATACCAAACCCCTCAAAATGTTTGCTTACTAACAAGAGAACGCTATTTCCAAACATTCTCTTCACCTTAGGGAACACACATGAAATGTGCTTTCAGAGGATATTTTGGGTGCTAAAAGGTTCACACAGGGAAGCCGAGATGAGCTCGTGGGACACAAAGCCTCTGAGGGTAAATAAACACACAGAAACCACATTTAGCTCGAGAAGTCCCTGAGCCAGAAACCGCTGATGGCTGGAAGAACACTGGGGAACAGATCGTGTACAGGCATGTGCTTAGAGCTACCGCTGGAGGTGACGTAGGGGGCTACACCAGCCCTGCGTTTGCCCTGGCAGAGCTGCTGTGTTTCAGGTGGTGCCTCCCGACTGTTGGTCCACGCAGGTCTGAGACCCTGCGACCCAACGCAGCCAGAAGTTGGGCACTTGTGCGTGGTCACAAGTGCCTTCTGCAGGTATATTCCCAACGACCTTCCGCTGGCTTTTGACAACTGTGCTCATTTAAACCAGCAGACTGATAAACAGCAATAGTTTTATCCATAAAAGATGCTAAATGCTCACTGAACTTGAGTATTGGTGCAGCACTAGGTACTACTGCAAATTATTTCTTTATCAGCCACTGAGGAATTCCCCATGATTCAGAGGCTTTATTACAGCAAACATCCATGTCTTTCAGCTTCGGGGAATTCCAACTGGTTTGCGTGAAGCTAAGCTTTTTACTTCCTAATAAAATATTCCTCCATAAAATCTCAACCAGACTTTTTCCCAATACATGCAGATGAAACAGAAAATCTATTTCAGAAAACGAAGAAATAAAAAAACAACAACAAAATCCATTTATAACGCTTAGCAGCTAGGATATACACCAGTGCCAACTTGCACAGTTTTATGATGAGTCTCATGATAGCTGATATTTTTCTTAAAACTGTGGTTCCAAGTAGATGTGTGAATTCCACATTGTAAAAATCCAAAGAGACTGTACTTTTCAGTAGGAAAAGTACTGAAAATAACACTTCTATATAAAAGCTTTACCTTAAGGTAAATAAAAACAGAACTTGGATTACTTCTAAATTCCATTATTTTTTAGATTCATTATTTTTCTATGTTAATGGCAGCACAGCCCATATTTTCTAGTAGAAAAGTTTATCACTGATGTTTCACAGGTGCCATAATTCACATTACCACAGTGTTCTTGAGTATATGAAAACTACGTTCATATATATATTAACAGCTCTTAATCTTCCTCACAAAGTGAAATACATCATAACAGAGCACTTTGGAATCTCTTTTCTCAGACGCAGCTGTGAGGAGGGCAATTTCTTCATTCACGTAAGGTATCTTTGGCTTTCACATGAACTATTTAAACAGAGATGGTGTATTAGAGAAATACAGACTGGACTTAGTTCTGAAAGCATTAATTACTACTATTGATTTTTTAAGTTAATCACATAATATATTTTATTTATTCTATTCTAGTGACTCTCTTATTAGAAAGGAGCCAACACTCCCCCTAAAATGATCAAAACAAACAAAAAAGAGACCCTCCATTCCCCCCAAAAGATCACACTGTCTTCTGTAGATGGTCTGTAAGGTTTGGAGCAGAGAACACTTCTGCTACAGCCAGAGGGCTCAAACCAGAACAAGGCATTAAGGCCCCTCCGTGCAGCAGAACCGCACTGACCGCAGGGTGACAGATTGTATTTTGGCCTACAGGCCCACTCTACAGTCTGTGTTATGAAACTACAAACACGTACACAGGGCTAATTTAAAACATTTCAAATTAAAGCTTCATCGTTAGAACCATGCTGGGTCTAAAGGTCTTTTGTTTACATAATTCATGGGCTGGAGACACTGCATGTGCTGACTGCTGACCAAAGAGTCCTTACACTCCACTTGCTTACAAGGCCATTTAAAGTTGCAAAAATTGGTTGGGTAGGAAAAAGGTAAGAAGCAGGGGGGGGGAAAGAAGACAATAAAACAGCACTTGGAGCATTTACAATTGATCATGTCAACTCACAGCCGCACATTCTATTTACTTATTACCATTATTTAAAGATTTTTAAGCACCAATAGCTTTCCTTTAAAGAGTGAAATCAGAAGAATGATTTTTCTTTGTGATCACATTATCTCATTGTGGTATTTTTTCCCATTCTCATGTAAATACTCACAGACCGCAGTAAAGCATTTTCTCAGGTATAAGTAATATTAAAAAAAAATGTTATTTCCATTCCTCTAAGAAATTGAATTTTACAGAAGTGGCTGATAGATGGTCACCCATCATGGAATTTTCTCTGTAATACCGACGAACTCATGCACATTTGCCTCATTTTAAGATGCACAGTACTTTGCCCCTCATCATTAAATTATTTCTCCCTTGCAGCTAACAAGGGATTTGTCTACTATGATAAAACTTCAGTTGTTCTTTTGAAAAAAGCAATGAGCAAGGAAGCAGGACACTCCCCCAGTTTCATCTCTGCAGATTAAAGTAGGCAAGAGAGAAATTACACAACCTTAATTGATATCTCTAAGCTTTCCTCAGATAATGAGGCCCGTTTGGAAATTCTCTTTCTCTCCAAACAATGTTTGATCATTTTAGAATAGCTGAATTCTTGACTTGGCCAAAACAGCATCAATAAACCAAAAGAGCAGTCCCCAATTTATTTACTCACTGGTTCTTCTCCTGTGGAACTGGGTTGCAGGCTTTTCAATGAACAGGAAAGCTAGAC